CACGGGTTTGTGAGGAGGAGATCTTGTCTCACGAATCTACCGGTATTTCTAGATGAGATAACCGACAGGCTGGATAAGATCGAGAGGGTGGAGGTCTGCTACTTGGACTTCCAAAAGGCGTTTGACTCTGTAAACCACAGGCTACTGCTCCTGAAATTTAGGACCCTTAAAATCCACCCACAACTGATTGTATGGACGAAAGACTTCCTGAGGGGAAGGTCTTTCCATGTTAATATAGAAGGGACCAAATCGATGAAAGGCAGGATAGCAAGTGGAGTCCCACTGGGATCAGTTCTAGGCCCTCTCCTATTCCTAGTCTATGTGAACGACTTGCCGGCGAGGTTAGAGAACCCAGCATTCATGTTCGCTGACGACCTGAAACTGGTAGGTTCCCCCTCAAATCAGTCCATGCAGAGGGATTTGGACACCCTCATACGCTGGACGGAAGACTGGGAGCTACCGCTCAACGTGGCCAAATGTAGACAGCTCGTACAAATTGGAAACACAGGCCCGGTACGGTGGATAAACACTGATAACCCAGTAGAACTCCAAAGGAGTGACGAAATGAGGTGCCTGGGAATTCAAGTCACCAATAGCTTCAAAGCAGGGAAGCAGTGCCTGCTGGCGGCACGTAAGGCAAACAACGCCTTGTATCAACTGCTGAGAACTGTTGTCTTGCGGGATCCAGAGACGTTGTTACCCCTATATAGAGTGTATGTGAGACCACACTTGGACTACTGCATCCAAGCGTGGTCTCCATACCTGGAGCATGACAAAAAGGTCCTAGAGGCGGTCCAACATAGATTCACGAGGTGCTTCCCGCACCTTAGGGGCCAACACTACCCAAATCGTCTTGCTGTGCTGAACCTATTCTCTCTAAAGCGAAGGCACCTCAGGGGTGATCTGATCGAAACCTTTAAAAGCATAAAAGGCATATCTGACACGCGTGCTTCACTGTTCACTACCAGTGGTAACGTGGCATTACGTGGGCACTCCTTGAAACTGGCAAAAAAGCGTTCTAGGCTGGAAGTTCGAGCACTGTTTCTAAAAAAACCCGTGTAGTGAACAGTTGGAAAAAACTCCCAGAAGCGGTTATCACAGCAACGAATGTGATAAGCTTCAAGCACAAACTGGATGACTGCTG